GAGCCGGTCCCTCCCCACACCACCCTCTTCACACGCCGCCACCACCACCAGCGCCTTACCCGGGTCTTGGCAGCGCCCTTGTTTTTGCTCCCCTTTGGTCTGCCCCGAGGTCTCTTAGGTGTTGGCACTTCGCTGGGCTCCTTCTGCAGAGACACAGGCAGCCGTCAGACACGGATGCCACCCGCACCACCCGTTTCAGAAGACAGAGGGCCCTCTGCCCCACCCCAACAGGGTTTAAGTCAGCAAGCCATCGCCCCCACCCAGGAATCCACGATGGCAGGGGCAAGTCCTCGGGATTTAGTTCCCAGTTTGATTATTTTTTGCAAAGCCCTTCCCCTTGCTTTCCTGTGACAAGACCCCTGGAAAAGGTGTCATGGGGGCAGGCACACGGGCAACTCTGCCCTGGTCCCTGCTGTGCCACTGACGGGCCGGGCCCTAAGGTCTCGGGGAAGACACTTAACGCCCGAGCCTCAGTTTCCTCACCTGTAAACGGTGACAAGACTGACCTTGCAGGCTATCATGAAAATTAAAATAAGGAAGTGTCTAGCCCCAGGGCCAGAATCATTGCCCACCCTTTCAGATAACAGAAGCTGGACACTTCCAGGAATTCAGAGTAGAAAAAGGGCCTTGGCCTGGGGGGAGCCTCCAGCCTCTAACTGTAAACTGGCCCCTCCAGGCTGCCTCCCAGAGAGAAGAAACCCCAGAGGTCCGTGCCGCTGCTGCCACTGAAATTTTAATAAGCCCTAGACAGAATAAAAAGCTGCTGCATTATGCATAGAACCTGGGCGGGAAAGGCACTTCAGCTACGGTTTCCCATGCACTGTTTCTAACCATGGTCAGTAACCCAACACCCCCTTCTGACCCTCGACCCCACCTCAGCCAACAGGCAGGCGGGGAGGCCCAGGGAACAAGGAGTCCCCCGCACCCCTCCGCCACACACAGCGGGCTCTGAAAGAGGCAGCTGAACGTAGCCACCCAGACGCCTCCCAGCTCATGTCTCCTAAAAAGAGTCAGGACAGACCACTGACTGTCCACCTCGGTGATGGAGCAGCCAGGGGCCTGCCGTGTCAAGGGCAAGGAACTGGACTTCACCCACAGCTGCCCCTCCATGAGAGAAGCCAAGATTGCGACCACAGAGCAAGCTCGGCCCCCACACCTGACTGGCCAAACTTCCTGGGGCACCCCAGAGTGCAAGGCTGGCCTCCAGTCCCATGGGAAGATCATTCTACCAACTCCCCAACATTTTCAACTTTTTGGGCTTCAATTTCTCTCTTTTTAAAAATTCTCACTAGAGGATATGTTCACTGATTTTGAAAAGAGGAAGGGAAAAAGAGAAACATCAATGTGAGAAACATTGATTAGTTGCCTCCTGTACTCTTCCTGGACCAGACATCGAACCCAAAACCTTTTGCTGTATAGGACGATGCTTCCACCAACTGAGCCGCCCGGCCAAGGCTCAATTTACATTTACAGAGCCAGGAGTAAAGCTGAAGTGGGGGGTGGGGGCGGCGACTGGGGCCACTAGCAGTGAGAGGCCCATGAACAGGTCCTAGTTCCTGGCCTGGGATGAGGAAGTACAGAAACTGCCATTAAGTATCCAGAAGCTTTTATAATAGCAAATTGACAGAGTAATGTGATGAATCTCATGATTAAAAATCCTAGGCTTGCCCTGGCTGGTGTGGCTCAGTGGTTGAGCACCAGCCTGTGAACCAAAGGGTTACTGGTTTGATTCCCAGTCAGGGCACATGCCTGGATTTTGGCCAGGTCCCCAGTTAGGCAGGCTTGAGAGGCAACCACACATTGATGTTTCTCTCTCCCTTTCTCCTCTCCTCCCCCCTTCTTTAAAAACAAATAAATAAAATCTTTAAAAAAAAAAAACCCTAGGCTTCTATTTCTTTTCAAGTTTCTAGAGTTCATCTTTGCTGTTCTATAAACATGCTGGCCCACAATAAACTGAAAATAAAGAGCAGTGGTCTACACCCCGGGGCAAGCACAGGCCTTCGTGAACCAAGGGTTACTTGGGCTTGGGCTTTCTGGTTCAATCCCCACTTTTCTCCTGGAGTCTCCGAAGTTACCTACAGGATTTGTGAGCGTAGGGTGTGCAAGCATGAGTGGGGAGGACACATGCAGAAAGGAACAACTGTGCACCCCTCCGTCCCTGTTTCACCGGCCAAGACACCTGGCACCTCCCTAGCCCAAAGGGGTAAACTGAGGCAGAGATTTGGACACCCACCTGACTCCCTACCAGCGCCGTCCCGGGACTCACCGGAGGCTGCTTGCGAGGCCTGCCTCGCCCTCGCTTCTCAGTGCCGTCCTTTTCCTGCTTGGAGGCCAAGGGCTGGCTGGACTTCGAGCTCGACTCGCTCATCTTCCCTTCTCTATGGAGCAGGTGGATGCTGGAGGCAGGAAAAGTGGTTTTAGACAAAACACTTTGCTCCAGCCACTTCCTACCCACCCCCCTCCCCTCCCACACCCCAAGTGCACTGTAGAAACACTGCCTGCTGGCAGGGGTGCCCCAACTCCCACCCAGCTGCCACAGGGTGGGGCCAGGCGGTTGGCCCTAATCAGCTCCTTATCTGCTGTTCAGAAGGGCTCTTTGTTGTCCTGCCACCCCACAGGGCCAGGGCCTGGAGCCACAGGCAGCCCAGACCTGCCTCTGAGGGTGAGTCTGCCCTGGGCCAAGGTATGGATGAAGCGGGGGTCCTCACACTGTGAGGCAGCCCCCTCTCTCTAACCAGCAGAATCTTGCTTTTTCACCAAGCCTGGGGAATACACAGGGAGCTAGGGAGGAAAGGTAAGCAGAGAAAATGAGCCTGGGCCTCTGGCAGCCATGAGCTTCAATCCTCTGCACACCTCGCTGCAAATTCTCAAGGCTCAGGACCAAAAACTACAAGGGCAACCTTAACAATTCACACCAATCACATGGCCAGGATTGGTGCCAGGGCCCCATGGGTGCCGCCTCCTGCTCTCTTTCAAGGTAAATCCTAGGATTCAAAGATGGGGACACAATTTGGGGAGGGAGAAGATGGTTGAACTGCAACGGGTAAGGTGGGTCCCCCCTCTCTCATCAGGCCCTCCAGAGTCAGATGACACCTTTCTTTTTAATACCTTCTTACAGAAGAGGTACCTCCAACTGAGATGGACCCTTCTAGCTGGCCCTCTGGAGCCCTGGCAGGGCTGATCCTAAAAGCTTTTTGGTCTTCTTCTAGTACATTCCTTCTTCATAAAAGCCTGCTTCAGTTTAATCAGACCCACTATTGGAGTTTACCCCAATACCTAAACCCCCCACCCCCTGCAAGGACACCAGTACCCTGTACTTGGGGGTTTCTTCCAGAAACTCAGAAGTAAGGGCCTGGCCCGGTTGCTCAGTTGGTTAGAGCATCATCTAATCCGCCAAGATTGCCGGTTCGATCCCAGGTCAGGGAACATACAAGCATCAACCAATAAATGCATAAATAAGTGAAATAACAAGTTGATGTTTGTCCCTTCCTTCCTCTCTCCAAAATCAATAAATACATTTAAAGCAAAATACCTTCTTAAAAGAAGGACTGTGAGGGTGCCCCCCACCCCGCACTCCCATCCTCCCCATTATTATCCCTGTGTTAGACTGAAGGCTGAAGCGGGAACCTGGGCTTCCTGCAAACCAATTCCTGGCTGCACCTGGTGGAGCGTGGGCCCAAACCCCTCCACTTCTGAAACTCCCTTAAGTCTGTAAACTGGGGTAAAGGTAAGACATCTGCCTCAACTACCTTTCCAGACTTGCAAAGATCAAACCAAATAATAGTTTAAAAATACCCAAACAATGGGCAGTTTCCATTCAAAATGAGAACTAGAACATTTGAAAGTGATTTCTTTCCCTTTTTCAGATTTTCAGACAATTCCCAATTTTAACCCAATCAAAGGAACAAAAACCATTTTGCACGACTGTGACTTCTGGAGGGCCCAAGGCCCCCATCCTCAAAGCTTCGATGTTCCAGATGGCAGGGCTTTCTCTGGTATTTATTCTGTTTTATAATATTTCAGACTTGAAGACCCTTTTAAACAAGGTGATTGGTGATTTATCCTACTCTGTCATTAGTGGCTTGGTCTGCTCTATAATTAAAGGCAGTGATTAGAATCTTCTATTACACCACAGGTCCCTTTTTCAAACTAAACATTCAAATTAATCAGCTAAATGAGTACTGACCTCACATGAGGTCTGCTGAACACCCCTCCGGGAGGAGGTTCTAGTTGGGTGAAGCTGGTCCCTAATCCCAGACAGCTTGGGCACTGCCTACTGGGGTCCCGGTGGGTCTTCCTGGAAGATCCTATTTCATCTGGTGGTTCCCCCTTGCCACCTCTTGCTGCTGGGAACCCTTGAGTCCACTCCCCCACCCCAAATCCAGGCTTCATGAAATGAATGAAGGCCTGAAGCCCTCTCAGGCCAGACAACAAATGCTGTCTCTTCCACCTGTTTCCAACATCAGAGAGGCCTGTCACGGAGAAGGCACGTTTTAGGGCCCAGTCTTGTCCCTTTCATAACACCGTGCGCATAATGTGTGCTCCACAAATACTTAGAGAATTTGCAGAAATAATCCTAGAAAATTATCCAGAAGTTGTGCTGTTTCACAAAAAAAAAAAAAAAAAAAGTAGTCCAGAGAGCCCGGATAAGTTGCCTAAATAAAGTCACACAGCAAGTTGAAGAAGAGGATGGAGTAGGTACTTGGCGACCCTCTAGCCCGCCACTTTCCTTACCCGCCCTGACGTTAGTTAAGTCTCTGTGATACTCTACTCCACACCCGACCCCGGTGACTGCAAGTGTCTCCCTTGGCCGTTGTATGCAGGTCGACCGACGGGACTGGGGGCTAGAACGTGCTGGGGGAGGGGCACAGGCCGCTCTAGCAGGCGCGGGAAACCGGTGTACCCCGACCGCATGCACGGCCACGCGGGTGCACCCGGCCCCACTTCCTGCCAGAGGGGGCACCCAAGCCCGCCCTGGGGCAGGAAACCTGGCTCGAGCGGGGGAGAGGAAGAAAGCTACCTCCCTCCGTGCCCTCCCCGCAAAATAAAGCCTCAGGAAAATAAATTGAAACGGGGAGTCAAAGGGACTAGTTCCAACAGAGCCCAGCAAAGCAGAGAAACCAGTTTGTGGGGGTGGAGGGCAGGCCTGGCCCCGGGGGCTGAAGAGGCACGCGGGCAAGGCCAGAGGTGGGGTCGAGGTGAAGCCCCAAACCTAGGCCCACGATTCGGCCTCATCTGCGTGGAGGGACACCAGGTAAAGGCCGTGCGGGAGTAGGGCCTAATTGCGGGGTTCCTGCCCATCCCCCTCACTTCTAGAACTTCCCCAGGCTGCGGGGGATGGCCGGCCCCCCACTCTCCCGCTGCGCCGCAGCCTGTTCCTCTCCCCGCCCCCAATACCCAAGGCCCGGGGCCGGGCTCGGGCGGGAGCGGCCGGCGCGAGGTGCATCGGGAACCGCCGGGTGCACAACTCGCGCTCGTCGCAGCCGCGCGCCCCCTCCCCCACCGCGCGCCCTTCCCGGGTCCCCGCCCCCCGCTGGGCGCCAGCGGCGCGGGGGAAGAGGTGCGGGCGCCCTCCCCACGCTAGCGGGCCCCGCCGCCAGCCCCCGCTCTGCGCGGCCCTCCTCCGCCCGAGGCTCGCGCAGTCCCGGCCTGGGAATAAAGCTGGAGGCGCGCGCTGCAGCCCCCGGTGGCTTGCAGGGAGGGGGCGCGGGCGCCCTCCTCCGTCGCGGGGCCCAGGGACGACTCACCGCGAGCTCGGTCGCCGGCCTGTGGTGCGAGCTCAGGGCTGGTAGGAGCGACGGTGCTGGGCGCTGAGGACCGGCCTGGCTCCGCCGCCGCCGCTGGTAGCAAATGCGGATCTGAAACCGGGAGACAGCAAAGGCGCTCAGAGACTGCCACCGCCGCGTGCTCGCCGCCCAGGCCCCCACGGGGTATTTATGTGTCACATCCAGGAGTGGGAACAGAAATATTCCCCCTCCCCCGAAGGATGGCGAGGGGCAGGAAGCTAGGCACGGCCCGTGCGCGGCCTCAATAAATAAATAATTTAATTAAATGATAGATATTAAAAAAAAAAAGCCACCGGAGGGGCCGCGAACTCACGCCTTCTTGGAGCCGCGCCAGCGCCAGAAATAGCCCGGGCTCGGAGTCCCAATTAGAGGAGCGCAGCCCCGGCTCAGGGGAGCTTAAAAAGAGCGACCCAGGGGCAGGGGGGACGGGCCCGCCCGCGCCAGTCGTGTCACTGAGGGGGCGGGGCCATGCAAATGAGCCCGGGGATTTAAAAGGGCGGCCGCCCGCCAGCCGCCCCGCGGGTGGGTGCTGACTTCGGAGAAGAGTGCGCAGTTGTTGGCGCTGGGGGTTAGTGCTAATATCCCAGGGTGCCGGCCCACTCCACACTGCCTCATAGCGGGAGACCTGAGAAAGGGCACAAGAGGGGTCACCAAGGAGCTTTTCGCGAGGTTGGGGGGGAGGGTGGGGGGCGTCCTTACTGCCTAGAACTGGGGGTCCCTAGCAGAAACACCTCCAGTGGTCTTCGGGACTTAATGGGTCTGACGCTCTCCGAGCGCGAGAATGTGGGTGGTATTGGTGCCGGCGGGGTCCGCGCGGGCGGTAGGGGTGGAGAGAAACGCGCGGGCTGTGGTTACGCGGCCTACCCACCGCCCCCTTCGCCCAGATACGCTGCTGGCAGATTCCCCATGGGCAGACAGGTGTCAGCATGTACGTTTCAGTGCCAACCTGCGTGTGGCTGATTGGATTGGTGAAATTCAGGTCTTGTGAAATTCAAATGTGAAACTTGTGAAATCGAGAGTTTTAGTTTATTAATGGTTGCAAGTGAACCATAATTAAGGTGCATCTCAAAGCAAACGATTGGCTTGGTGCAGGTTAACCTGAGGGAAGATTCCTTCATACATGGTTTCCCACTTGGTTCCTTGGCCCCATCTGCGGTGACTTTTTAAGAAATAAGGCGTGAACCAGTGACCGCTTGGAAGCACTTTGAGGGCAGGGACTCAGTCCGCGTACGCTATACCTGCTGCGCCGGACGCACAGGGGCCGACTCAACAAAGACTTGTTGCACGGCCGGGAAGGAAGCCAAAGTGGGAAGATGGCGGGGAGGGCGGTGGGAGATGGACGCTGTTAGTGGCGCGCCCTGCAGGCCGGGCCCGGGCCTTACAGAGCGCACCTCCCCACTCCTGATCCCGGAGGCGGCCTTCCACACCTCCCGTGATGCAGGGAATTGCAATGCGACCGGGTGACACACTGTTGTGACTCATGTTGTTCTTCCTCCCTTGTAGGCTGAGGCCCCGGCCCAACCCCCTCCTCTAGGGGAAAGCCGGCGGTGGAAGGGGGACTCCAGGAAAATCCTAAGCACAAGAGTGGAGGCGGGGTGGGGAACGGAGGGGGCCGGGCCTCCCAGTTTAAGGAATGTTTCAGGAATGTTTCCGGTGGGGGTGGGGTACCAAGGCGGGAGAGGGCCCAGCCCCCACCCCGGGCAGCACGTGCTCGGCCGGGTGGGGGCGGGGGAAGGTGCTGGGGGCCAATAGAACCGGTTCAAAGAAGAGGGCGCGGGTTTGAGTCTGAGACCTGGCGGAGCTAGGGGTGGGCGGGGAGGCCGCCTACCCGCGCTCCGGCTCCCCGCCCATCGCCCAGGTGGAACGCCGGCCCAGTGAAGCCCGCAGGCTGCCCCTGGAGGGGAAAGGAAGTCAAGGAAGGGCAGCCTGAGGAGAGGAGGGTGGAGGGGAACTCTAGGGAGAGGCTGGGGGAGGGGCGGCCTGCCCCTTTGTCTAGAGCCGAGGGTGGGGCGGGGTGCGTGGCGGGCTGCTCCATCTTTGTGCCCTACGTGACAAGCGCGCGCTCAGTAGGCTGCGAGTAAAGTTGGCCTCGTGGCATGGACTTGTTAGCTCCCGAACCTTCGAGACGTTGAGTGGAAGAACCGTCCTTCAGCCCTCAGGCTACAGGCTCCTGCCATCCACCCGGACCCCCACGTCTGGGCCAGGGATAGCCCCCACAAGAGAGGCGGTCCCCTGGATACAGCCTTCCCCAAGGCCCTCTAGGCATCTAGGCCAGGCCTCCGGGGCTAGTGGCCCGGAAGGCCTTGTGAGGCCTGTGGCTGTCCCTGAGAGGCAGGTGGGAAAAAGAGGGACTTGCATCTCCAGTGGGCTGTGGGAAAACTCCTTCAACTTTTTGGCCCACTTTTCATCAACCGACTTGATTTTTTTTTTCTACTCTTATTTGCCCCTCATACTGATTTCCTCACCTACTTGTTTTTTACCTTGTATTATGTGTATTTTTGTAAGCCACCTCAGTCTCTCTGGAAGGAAGCAAATATAAATAAATTTGTAGACAAATATAGTAGTTTGTTCTTCTCCAGGATTACCCACACCTTTGAAATCCAAATAACTCTACCGCTGACCCCTGCCTCCAGTGCTTTCTGGGTTGCAAATGCCCCCAAGTTACTTACTTTCTTTTCCTCTTTCAATAATTATTTATGAAGCATAAGGGTGAGTGGTAGAGATTTAAAAAATGAATAAGACATAGTCCTTGCGCCAGTGAATTTCATGTCTAGAGGAATCAACAAGGAATACTTTCGTGGAAGCCAATTTTCCCACAGATGGGGGGGATGGTTTCTGGATGATTCAAGTGTATTAAATTCAAGCTCACCTCCTGCTGTTTGGCCTGGTTCCTAACAGGTCCAGAGGTTGGGAACCCCTTCACACCATGAGGCAGAAAGCAAGCATTCATTCATTCATTATTTACTGAGGGCCTACTATGTACCAAAAACTTCCATGCTGTTGGGGTACAACTAGTGAGCAAAGTTCCCTATGCTCTAGAAACTTAGACTGGGGGTCAGGTGCCACAGAAAGAGGAGGGAGCTCTGGGTAATCAAGGAAGGGTCCTAGTGGAGGTGGGCTTGAACAGGCCAGAGTGCGATTTGGATAGGTGGGGGACCATGGGGAGTAGGCAGGGAAGGGGAGCTCCTCTAGGCCAGACACATAAACCTGGTCGGTGAAGGCCTGAGGGGCACCAGGGGAACTGGTCACATCAGAACCAATCTTTGCCACAGGAAGCATTTCCTCACTGTCAGAGTTGAATTACACAGTTTCCACTAGGAAAACCCATTGAACTCAATGACCCCAACAGACATTCAGGAAATGGGGAGTTCAAGTCAACTTTATTTTACAGGACAGCCGAAGGTACAGTTACTCTTACCTGGGCTGTTGAAATTCTTTCTGATGTGTTTGTTTTTCCCCTGCTCTGCTAAGTGGAGTAGCAGGAGTTTGACGGTCTCCCAGCTGTGGGTTGAAATTCGGAGGTCCTGGAAGGTTGGGGTGTCCCTTGGCACTCCCCAGGGATTTGTGCCTCCCATTTCTCCAGTTATATAGTTACTTGCCAGTTTACCTCTCACTTTTGAGTCAACTGCAGCTCTTGGAAGAGTAGAGGCTTCCTGAAAGGCATGGGGGTAAGGTGTGACAGTCCTGTGTGTCAGTCCCACCTGGAAGGTAGATGGGAAGAGGTGGGGAGAAGTGTCCGAACCGCAGCCCACAAGTCGCTCGTGGCCCAGGATAGCTATGAATGTGGCCTAACACAAAACCATAAATTTACCTAAAACCTTTTTTTTTTTTTTTTTTGCTCATCGGTTTTTGATAGTATTTGTGTATTTAATGTGTGGCCCAAGACAACTCTTCTTCCAGTGAGGCCCACAGATGCCAAAGGTTGGACACCCCTGGAACCTATTACACAAACTAGGATATGTTTTAAAGTACACCTTTTACTGATGAAAACTGTACGTACAGAAAAGGCATAAATCCTGTGTTCGGCTTAGTGCCTTTTAATAAAGTGAACACCCGTGTGTGGCTAGAACCCATATCAAGAAAAAGAACATTTCCATCCTCCCTTATGTAACCACCATCTCAACTTCTTTTTTGTTTGTTTGTTTGTTTGTTTGTTTGTTTAAAGATTTTATTTATTTATTTTTAGAAAGAGGGGAAGGGAGGAAGAGAAACATCAATGTTTGGGCTGCTTCTCAGGCCTCCAAACTGGGACCTGGCCAGCACACCAGGCATGTACCCTCCTGACCAGGAGTCAAACCAGCAACCTTTCAGTTTGTGGGACAACACCCAACCCACGGAGCCACATCAGTCAGGGCACCATCTCAACTTCTAACAGTGCCCTTTAGTTCCAACTTTTTTGTGCATTGTGTGGATGGAATCATGATACGTACTCTCTTGTGTTAATCTTTGTTCAGCATTATGTCCCGATTCATCCATGTTCCTGCATGTGGCTGCAGAATGTTCATTCTCTTTGCTGCATGGTTATGTGGTGTTATGTATACTACAGTTTTTATATCCATTCTGTTGTAGGGCATTGGTTAGTTTCCAGTTTGGGACTATTACATGTAGTGCAGCTCTGAATGTTCTGGAATATTTCTTGGTGACATGTACTCCAAGTATTTCTGTTGGGTACATACCTTAGGAGAGGAATTCCTGGTTCATAGGCTATGTATGCTGAGCTATTACAGACAAGCAAGACACTTAAGAGTAAAGGGGGGGGGGTACTAGTAGTTATGAGCAGACAATGAGAATGAACCTGAACTGGCCCATTATAACTAGATTGACCCAGGACCATAACAGCCAACACTGACGGGGGCAAGCTGGGCATAGGGTCGCACTGGTGCCTGGTGTTTGACTACTCTCCTGGAGAGTCACCCAGCTACTAGTACATCTACTCACTTGGCAAAACCAGGCCACTAGGCCCTGCTGACCCCCAGGTCTGCTGCCAGGAAGCCTGGCAGGCCTAGAGTGAGAGGAAGGCCTCTTCCTTCAGCTTCCAACTTTTGAAGGAAAAATTCTCCAATAAATAGAGATGCTCAGGGGGCAGGCACTTTCCTGAGCCAGCCACCTACCACACATGACCCCAGGATACTGTCCATGTATCAGCCACCTTCTTCAGAGCTGGAACCCAGAAAAGTCCAGCTCCTCTTCAACCTCAGGAAACAATGCGGGAAAAGGAAAGTGATGAGCACCTACTGACTGCAGCATCCCACATCGTCCCTACCAGTTCAGCAAGGCTACTGTCCCCATTTTACAGATGTTAAAACTGAGGATCAGGGAGGGTCGCTTGGGATGCTGCCTCTTTCCCCTCCACTACTGCTTCCCCTAAGATGGGTGAGTTTGTTGCCTTCTCTCGCCTGGCTAGCTGGATCCCTCCAGGCACTCAGGCACTGGAGACTTGAATGAGGTAGCTGTGTTCCCTGTCCTCAGGGGACTTCCACTGGGTGGGGTAGAAGACAAACAAGTACAGGGTAGTTTCACCAGTGTGGTACCTGCCCTGAGGGCAGCAGCAGGGGTGTAGGGAGCAGGGGCACGGCTGGGATGTAGCAGGGTATTTGACTTGGGGAAGGGCTTAGGGCTGTAGCAGACACCATGGGTTGGCATTTGGCACCATTCTCCACACTCCTTTGAAGCTGCAGGTTTGAATGTGAATTAGGTCCCACTAAAGAGTGAAATTTGTTGGACGGAAACAAGGAAATGTTGCTGTGCAGGCCGCAGAGACATGGGGTTTTCTGCAGCACCTCCAGCATCCCCTCACTAGTGCTGTAAGGGTTAAGAGTTCGGAATGGTGGCAGAAAGAACTCCTGTCCCTGATCACAGCTCAACCATTCAGGCCGGGGCCGCCTGATTCCACCCTGCCCCCCCAATGAGGCAGAGACAGGCAGACGGGAGTGTCCCCAACCTACAGCCGGCTCCTCCAGTTCTTCCCAATGGTTTTGTAAGCACCTAATTCTCAGTATTAAATCATTTTCTGCCTAAAACATAAGGCATGTCTTTCCTCTGTCCAAAATCCTCCAGGGGCTACCATCTCACACAGAGTGGACGCACGAGGCCCGCAAGGCTCTGCGACCTGCCCCTCCCCCACCTTGTCTCCTCCCTGCTGCTCTGCTTCAGCCACACCAGCCTCCCTAGGTGCTGCCCAGACCTGGCAGCCAGGAGCTCACCTCAGGGCCTTTGTACTTGTCATTCCCTCTGCCTGACATGCTCCTCACCTAAATATTCTCAGGGTCTGCCCTCTCACAGCCTTCAGTAGTACCTGTCCACACTATTTAAAATTGCACATTTCCTCCTGCAAGTCTCAGCCACTTTACCATGTTTTCCCCCCTGTAGCACTTGTCAATTTCTAACGTATCATTAACCTTTCTATTGAACTGTTATCAATAAAAGTGGTACGTTTTCTCTCTGGTTCTCCCCACTGGAGGGTCAGCTCCTACAGGGCTAGGGAACAATATCAGTTGGACTCACTGGGGTATCCCTAGGGTTTAGCACAGTGTAGAAGCTCAAAAAACGTGTTGAATGAAGAATGATTGGCCAAAATGATTTCTGTTGTCAGCAAAGACCAAGCCACAGGGAGCTGTGCTGGGGATCTGAACTCCAAGGCAGAGAAAAGGGCAAGGAAGCCAGCAGATCACCACAGGAGTGACAGAGTGGCCCAGCCCGAGACAGGGATCTGCCCCTTACAGAGATGTCTGTTCGTCTCACTAGGTCAGAATCGCTGGGCTGCCATCTCCCGCACTCAGACTCATGTGTGGTGGGCATCACCTGCAGATTTTATAATTTGCCACCGATCAGAGGAAATTGTTTTTTCCCTTGGCCTCAGGTGTAATCGTCAGGTGCTGGCAGTCATGTGACAACCGTCTTGGCCTTTGGCCGGGACAGAATGTCTGGCTGGGTTGCTTGTTGGTGACTGGGAGGTGTGGCAGCTCACTGGACCGCACTTCAGGTGAGTGTAACATTTGTGCTTTGCGTGGAATAAAATAGTTTCCCTTTGGCCTATGGAACTATCTGACGAACAGACTCTGCAGGTAAAATGCCCCAAACATGTTGCCTCCTCCCACTGAGAAGTGGTGGAAAATACATGTCCCTTCACGTTGTGTAGCCCATGGAGGCCCCACCCATAGGAGCTGGTGGAAGGAAATGTCAGGGCAGCGGCTATGGGCCTGTGACCCCATTCTCTGGGGCTGAGTTTGTCCCTCCAGGCCACAGGCTCCAAGGTTCAGGAAATTTTCATGTGGTCTTTGCTGTTTCTCTTGTCCTATTCCTTGCCTGCTTTTGAAGTGGGAATATGTCTTGGCCTGGGGAAGAAGGGATTCGGTGACCTCCTGGGGCCTTCAAAAGTGTCTGTCCTCCGTAATTAGCTGGGGGAGGCCACCTTCTACTTTAAGTCTGCCCCGTTGCAAGAGTCCTAGCTGGTTCCTTCCGCCTCTGCAGGGGGACGCTGCTCCAACTGGGGAGATGTGTCCCGAGTCACCCTGTGCTCTCTCCCCTCCAGGTCACCCTGAACCCTCACCCCGAACTTTTCTTAGGGCGGGGAGCTCCATACCAGGAATGGGCAGGAGAGGGTGCTGCCTGCCTGCTCCCAGAGCTCAAGGGATAGGGGCTGGGCCAGAGTTCGGGGAAGGAAAGGAGGGCAGGGCGGAGGTCGAGGGGGGGGGGGGCTGGCTGAGAGAGGTGGGCTGGAGTGCGGGAGGAGCCAACGCCACACCGGGGATTGGTGGGACTCCTCCAGGGCTTTGTTTTCTTCTCCACACCCCCGAGCCTCGCACCAGGGTCGAAGGGGGCCTTGGCGCTCAGCAACAGTTTGGTAAATGGATGGATGAAAGAGTGCGAAGACGCTGCGGGGGGGGGGGGGCGGCGGCAGGGGCAGGCAGAGAAAGTAGGTGGCTGGGGGAAGGGGGGAGGAGCGAAGTGGGGGAGGGGAGGTGGCCACTGGCGGGAGAGCAAAGGAGGAAGGAGGCGGGCGGAGCAGGGTAAGCCTGCTGGTCTGGAATCTGGCTAGCAGGAGATGGCGGCTGCTAAGGGCCCAGTCAGCCTTCCTTCCCACCAACCTGGCTTAAACCTGTTGCTCCCCGCTCACCCAGGCTTCAGGCCTCTCTCCTACCCTATAAATCCTTTGGAGTTTTATGTCCTCCAAGGCCTAGTCGTCACTGAGGATTGAGTGGACGGCATCTTTGTTTTCTTTCTTACTTTCTAGGAATTCAGTCGCTGAGGGATCCGTGGCCCCCTGGATCTGGAACACCAGAGGGGCCCAGAGGGGCCGGCGGTGTCAGTCGTAGGGCACACCCGGGCTCGAACACGCTCTCTCCCATCCGGGCCTGCGCTGAAGTCTGCATGGCCCCAAATCCAGCTACTTGGCTCTGGGTAGCCCTGGGGAGTCTGAGTGGGTCTCAGGGGGTAGAGGGGCAAGTGGGTGGGCACAGAAACCCAGGGGAAGGAAACCCCGACAGTTGCCAGGGAAGCAGTGGGGATCCATGTGGGCGGTGCCGGGGAGGAGGTGCTGACAGGTTTCTGGGTCACCATCCAGGGAGCCCTGCTGGTTCCCAGGCTTTCTGGGTGGGGTACAGGGAGGGCAGGTCTGCACCCCAAATCCAGACCCTGCTGCCTCCTTTGTCTGGGACCAAAGGACTTGCTCCCACCCGTCACTCCCAGCCTTGGTGAAACCCCATGGAGCCCCCCGCTGAGGGGGGCCTGGTTGTTGATCCTGAATTCCCCCTGGGCTTGTGGGCCTGCTGGCCCTGGAGGTGGGGTGAGTAAAGGCAGGCGATGCGGAGTCCTCACACACTCCTCACGAGGCAGCCTCTTGGCTTGGGGTTTCCCTCTCCAACCCTGGGGCCCTGTTCACAGTTCCTTTTTTAAAAAAGGTTTTATTTATTTATTTTTAGAGAGAGGGGAAGGGAAGAGTGGGAGAGAAACATCAATGTGTGGTTACCTCTTGCATGTCCCTTACTGGGGACCTGGCCCGCAACCCAGGCATGTGCTCTGACTGGGAATCGAACCAGTGACCTTTTGGTTCAGAGACCTGTGCTCAGTCCGCTGAGTCACACAAGCCAGAGATGTCTGCATTTCCTAAGCATCCTTTTTTCTGGCAATTTTGCCCTCGGTGGGAGAGGTCTTTGGGGGCAGGATGATTTTCATAGGCAGAAATCCTTTTCCTAGTTCCCAAAGAGGGAATGCACCTTCTCAGTACTATGAGGTTGACACCTGGTGCCCCCACTCCCCATGGCAGTGACTCGGTCCCTAGAAGTGACTCTACAATACTTCATTCCCAAGAGTTCCAAGTGTGCAATTACATAGTCAGTGAAACCGAAGTCCAGAGTGTTAAGTGTATTGCTGGGAGAGAAATGGTTAAAAATGGAGGGTCTGGGGGCCACTGAGTGTCAGGGTTGGAGGGGATGTGACTAAGTTTGGGAAGCTGTGCCCTGGCCACTGCTACAGACAGCTGGAGGGGTGGGGACAAAAACAACATTTATTTAATTTTTTTAAAGATTTTATTTATTTATTTATCTTTAGAGGGGAAGGAGAGAGGGAGAGAAACATCAATGTATGGTTGCCTTTCGTGCATCCCCTGCTGGGAACTGGCCTGCAACCCAGGAATATGCCCTGACTAGGAATTGAACCGCAATCCTCTGGTTCGCAGGCCTGTGCTCAATCCACTGAGCTATACCAGTCAGGGTTTCAAGAACAACATTTACTGAGTGAGCATTCCTCCAATCCCCACAGGAGAAAGCATGTCCCCATTTCAGAGTTGGGGAGATCGGGGCTCCACAAGACCAGGCCACTGGCCAGTGCTTGTGGTGGAACCAGAATTCAGAGTGTCTGTGGGTCTCACTTCTCTGAATTCTGCCCCCCTCCCCTCCCCTCCCCTCCCCCCCAGCTCTCCCCACCCCCTTACCCTGCTCTGCTTTCTTCTGTTCCTCAGCCCTTAGCTGACAGCTGGACTCTGCTGCCCCTGAAGGTCACCTCTGGGCACAGGGGGAGACTGCCCACTTGCCTCTCAAAGGGAGTGAGTCTGAGTTACACACTGGAAACGAGACTGACGATCTCAATCCAGTGAGATCGTCACTGGATTCCCAAGACTTGTTTCACACACACACACAGATGTGAAAATACTAATTTTTTTGTATATTGTTTGCATGTTGAAATGATATTTGGATATATTGGGTTAATTTCCTGTGTTTCTTCTTACAATTTTAATACAGCTACTGGAAAATCTAACAGTAGATATGTGCCTTCTGGTCCATTTCTATCTAGATGGTTCTGGTCTAGATTATTTGCTTATTTATTATTTATTGTTGCCCCCACTCCCACCCCACATCTCTCTTGGAGGGCGGGAGCTGACAGTATTTCGCTCCCGGCCGAATTCCGGGGCTGGTATAATAAACACCGGCACTGCTGTTTATTATAGATGCTCAGTAAATACTTGTTTCACTGAACCCCGCGTCCGACTGCAGGTCAGTCTGAGAGGGTTAGGAGGGCGTCCCTGCGGGAACCCACGTGGCCCGACTCCTCTACCACCCACAGGGCTCCGCAAGGTGACCTAGTCGGCCCCAAGGAGCCTTTCCGGACACCCTTCCCCCACCCCGTGTGGGGAAAAAGGGTCTGGAGTCTGGAGCAGGTGAGCGATGCTGGCTGGGGCACTCGCCGGGCTTTGGGGAAGCTGCGGAAGCGGCCGTCCTGGGGACAGACCGGAGAGCCCTGAGTTCCCTGGATGCTGCCCCCCCCCCCCCCGCCCTCGGGGAGGGAGTCCCTGCGCGGTCGCCTCTGGCAGCCGCGCATCTGGAAGCAGGCGTGACGGGAGGGCGGAGGTGGGCCGGGGGCGCGTGTTGTCTGTGGGTAGAGTGTGGGGGTGTGTCCGGCCTGGGACACAAGGGCTCACACAAGGTCACTGTGTCAAAGGAGCGTTCCGAACACTTTCTCTCTCCCCGCGATTGGATTGCGGCTCCGAAAGCCCCTTCCGTAGGGACTTCCCTCCGCGCCTGACTCACGCTGGCTCATGCGTGTGACTCAGGCCGGGCGCCGAGCCAGCCGCCACCCCCCACCCCGGCCACCGAGCTTGCTGCAGGGGCGGAGGGACAGTGGGGGACCGGAGGCGGACATGCAGGGACCGATGCCGGGGCGGAGATGGGGGGATGTGGAGGCGGAAATGGGGGGATGTGGAGGCGGAGATGGGGGACGAAGGGGCGCAGCCTAGAGAGGAGAGTGAGTTGCCGAGAATCAGCTCTGGGCAATGGATGACAAGGCAGAGAGCCGCTGTAGGAGAGACTGGAAGAGGGAGACTGGGAAAATGGGAGGAGAGAGATGAAGGGGAGAAGGACAGAAACGGGAGAGAGAGCCAAAAGCCTTCTCGGAGGCCAAGGCAGACAGCAGGTGAGAGGATAGGGCAAGTGACAAGTGGGAGGAAGGGAGGAGAAAGGAGGGAGTCAGAAGCCTGTGGGTGCTGCTGCCCCTGAGCCCAGCTAACACCTGGGCGTCTGGGCAGGTGGGGGGACCACCCTTCTGAGCCCTGCTCTCACCCCCAGCCCCACCTTACCAGCTCTGAGAGAGCAGGCAAGTTATTCACGTCTCTGGGCCTCAATCTTCTCATCTGCAAAATCGGAGGTGGTGACGGTGGAGAACAATCCCGTCTCCCTGTGCTTGTTATTCTCCCTTCATCCGTCCACTCCCTCACTCACCCCATTTATTCTGCTCTGACCATTGTAGGGTCTGGAAGGCTGACTGCTTGGCCCTGGGCCCCGGGCCCCCTTGCCAGTTAGCTCTCTGTTGAGCAGTGCTTAACACAGGACATCCCAGAGAAGGAGAGAAGTTGGGGTGCTCCCCCCCCCGCCCTGCTTTGGCTCCTGACCCGGCTGCTGTGTCCCTTCATGGCTGTGGCTTGGGGCACGTCGCATCTGCCCCAGCCTTTTAGGTCCTAGGAGGTACAGTGACATTACCATCGCTGGCCCCTGTGCCATACCACCCCTCATTGATCCCCCTCACCCCGCCTGCCTGCACCCCCGTAAAGAGCTCCTCCATTAGAGCTTCTTGAAGGCCCTGGGGTGGGTTCCATTTCCTGCCAGGGCCCGACTGCTGCACGGCAGGGGGGCACTGAAGGACTGAAGAACGTGCCACACAGGCACCCAGTAAATCCCAGCTCTCACTGTCATCCTGCTCCCTCCTTCCGATGGGGGGAGGGGACAGGGATAATAACCCTCACCAAAGTGATATACAACATTAAAAAGCACTTGGATACATATTAGCTCTTTAAATCATTGTTGTGAGTCTGAAGCAGGTGTGGGGTTATTCGCTTCATTTATTGATAGAAGAGAAACATGAGGCTCATGCATTTAAGAAGCAACACAGTGGAATAAGGGTAGTGACAGTGGACTGTTTCCTGTGGGTGATGGGCCAGCTCAGGGAGGGGCAGCTGTGAATAATAACAACAATAGATAGCAGCTAGGATGTATTACTACTCCCCAAGCAACAGATGGTTCTGATGTACTCTTATTAACTCATTTAATCCTTACAATTCTAGGAGATGGCTGCTGTCCTTACTGCCCTTTTACAGTGTAGTATCTGAGGCACAGAGAGGTGGCCTTTTCCATGGCCACACAGCAGAGCTGGACAGGAAAGCAGTCAGTCTGGCTTCAGAACCACCACTGTAACCTCTCCTAGGTGCCTCCTTGGGGTGCCTTGGGGAGGGGCAAGCAGGGTGAGCACACCTGCATTCCAGACAGTGTCTTAGAGGGGAAAGAGTTTTTCCATGAGTTTCAGAAGCTACCAGCTGTGCTGTAGCACCTGGTAGAGGGCGGGAGAAGGAAGCCGTGGAATTCAGCAATGAAGGGAAGGAACAGGAGCTCATACGGGGCACGCACCTGTCAGCCAGGGGCCTGGACTTTATTTTGAAGGAAGCCGTGGAAGGTTTTCAGCAGGGGTGGGACAGGTTAGCATTTTGGAAAGAATTACCTTAAAATGCAAGGAAGATGTTTTTCTCTTACCAGACGGCAGAGAGCTTTAAAATGCTCGCTCCCAGTGCTGACAACATTTCGGAGCACTGGTGCTCCCCTGCAGTGCGGGTGGGAGGAGTGGGTGTGGCCTTTCTGGAGAGCAGCTGAGCCCTGTGCAGTGCCAGGGAGGGCTCAGCCCTTTGACCTGCTAATCCCATTTCTGGGAATCTCTCCTCCAACAGAATTAGAAAGGGGTCTGAGATCGATGTCCCAGAATCTGAAATTTGTTTCCTCATTAATAATAGCAGCCATAGCAAAAGGAAACAACGTAAATGTCCAACAGATGAGAGTTGCTCCTTTTTAAAGCTCTTTGCAAGTTGATAGAAAAACAGATTCTCCTTTGTATTTTCAAATTAAGATAAAATATCACAAAATGTTTTATAAAAATTAATATAATTTTTCAGAGTCTTAGAAGTAATAACCGAGTTCATTATGGCTGCAAGGTACAAGACTAACACAAAGAAATCAATCCTATTTTATATGCTAACAATGAACCATTAAAAAAGACAACACTATTTGTAATAGCTCCAAAAGGAAAGGAAGAAAAAAATAAACACTTGAGTATAAACTCTAACAAAACATACACAGAGTGTTTATGCTGAAAACAAAATATTGATGAAAGAAATCAAAGAAAATCTAAAAAAATACACTGCATTCATGGATTGGAAGACTCAACAGAGTAAAGATGCAGTTTCTCTCCAAACTAATTGAATTTGTTTTCTGTAGCTGCCATAACAGAGTAGCACTAACTGGGTGGTTTAAAACAATAGAAATTGTCTCACAGCTCTGGAGGCTAGAAGTCTGAGGTCAAGGTGTCAGCAGGGCCGTGCTCTCCTGCAGCCTCCAGGGGCCCTCCCTGGCCTCTTGCAGCTTCTGGTGGTTTGCCCGCTCTCCTGGGCATTCCCTGGCTGCAGCTGCAGCACTGGCACCCCTGCCTCTGTTGTCACACGAGTTCTCCCACGTGTCTGTGTCTTTTCTCTTACAGGGACCTCGGGCATATTGTAGTAAGGATCCACCCCACTCCACTATGACCTCATCTTAACTAATTATATCTGCAGTTACCCTGTTTCCAAATAGTCATGTTCTGAGGTGATGTATTAGGTCCAGGTTAGGACTTCGACATACCTTCACAGGAAAAATGATTCAACCCATAAAACTGATCTGTCAGTTGAGCACAGCGCCAATCAAATTCCATCAGGAACTTTTGTAGATATAGACAAGCTGCTTCTAAAATTTATGTGGAAAGGCAAAGAAACTAGAATATCTAAAACAATTTTGAAAAAGAAGAATAAAGTTGGAGGGATTGTGTTATGTGATTTAGAATTTACAACAGTAATGGGAAGAGTAGCGTGCAGGCTGGGTAGCTTGGCTGGTGGAGCGCTGTCCTCACGCACTGCGGTTTGGGGTCTGACCCCACTGGGACGGGTGCAGGAGTCCACCCGTGGGTGCATGGATGGGCAGAACACCAGGTCGATGTTTCTCAAGTCGATAAAAAATCATTTTTAAAAAAGAGTGTGCTGCTGTCAGGAATGGTACACAGGTCAATGAGACAGAACACAGGCTCAAGAAATAGACCCACACACCTGGCCAGTGTGGCTCAGGCAGTTGCAGCATTGCCCTGTACACAGGAAGGTCGCAGGTTTGATTCTGGGTGAGGGTACATGCCTAGGCTGTGGACTCCATCCCTGATTGAGGAACCTAGGAGAAGCAACCAGCTGATGTTTCTCTCACAATGAGAAAATGTCCTCGGTGAGAGTGAAAAAAAAGCGAAAGAAAGAAACCAACACAAATTTGGCCAACTGATTTAGACAAAGGTACAAAAGCAATTCGATGGAAAAAGGATAGTTTTTTCAACAAATGGTGCTGGAAGAACTGGACGCCTACATGCAAAAACAATGAAACTTGTCCTAGGCCTCACATATTAGACTAAAATTAACTGAATATGAATCATAGGTCTGAATGTGAAACCTAAAATTATAAAACTCCCAGAAGAAAGCATAAGAGGAAAGTATTTGTGACCTGGGGGTTAGTCAAAGAGTTCTTAAACATACCACTGAAAGCACAATCCATGAAACATTTTTTTAAATTAAATCAGACTGTCAAAAAAAATTAGACTGTCAAAATCAAAACCTTGTGCTCTGTGACAGTGTTAAGAGTAAAAAGACAGATTATAGTCTAAAAGACAATATTTACAAATTGCACATTTAACAAAAGAGTTATTTTCAGGATACAAAAAGCCCCCCTCAAAACTCAATAGCAAGAAAAAGACCTACTGATTTTAAAATGAGCAAAACAGTTGAACAGACACTTCACCCAGGGGGGTATGCAGTTGGCATATAAAC